AAATAAACAAGCCATTTTTATGAGTTATATTATGAATCAAAAATACAAATTTCACTCACTTTTGTCTTTGGTTCTCTTCTGTTAACTGTGATATTGTTTTTTTATTGCTCTCATTCTCCTCCCTACAAAAAAAATATTATTTTTAGTTCAAACAATTTGTGATGAATATTATAAAATATATATTTATTTATTTATAAATATTATTTATTTATATATTTGTGATTGTTCTTGTGAATGTTTTTTACCCGCATAGATAACATACCTTCCCCACAGTTAGATGCCATATTTTGTGTATTTTTTCATTTTTGTTCAAAATGGACATAATTGCCCATTAGCTACTGCTATATGGAAGAAATTATTTTGTTTAATTTGCAAAAGGATGTTAAAAATGACTTTTGGGCTCAACAAAAATTTGAATCATCAAATATGAATGTATCAAATCAAATCAAATATGGATGAATTTTGTTTGAACTTGGTACATACATTAGACATTATGGTTTCCTGATGCACATCGTTTTATTTTACAGATCATATTTGAAACGGCCGACTGGTGGTCATTTTTTTTTAATGAATGAAGTTCTAGTCCCATATCTCTGACTTGTTTTGACTGATTATGTTCAAATTTTATATATTCATTATACATCATGACGTAGGTATACAGTGCTTTACAATAAGACTGTAGAAAATCAGAACAACAATGTACAAATAATTGGCTCAAAAACACTAACTCAGGGTATACAGACAAAAACCCAAATAAAGATTACCTTAGATGCATGTATAACAGACAACAAGCACCCTGAGGTTGCAAACAAGATTCAAAAAAAGCTAAACAAACCAGTTATCATACAATTACATGCAATCTGACTAATGATTTCAGAAAAGATATTGAGAAACAATTTCCATGAAAAACTCATCACTGTGGCCACAAATTTGTTTTATAGATCTAGCCAGCAGTTATCATCACACAATTACTTGTAGCAAACAATACAGTTGCGAGAAATGTTGCTTCTAGTTCTGATAACAACTTACTGGCTTCCTGAAAGTAACTTTGCTTGCAACATAGCTGTATTGTCATCCAATCAGTTGACAACATTGCTGGTTAAGTGTTCAAAACCTATTCGTAAACATAGTAACTAAGTAAAAATGAATCTCAGTTTGCTCACACTATTAATCTGACTGAAAACTCCTGTTTTTTGTCTTGTTTTTTTATTAAATATTTTTTTGTGCCAGGCGACAGTTTGAATGTCACTGTTGTCTCTCCTGACTTTTTTTTTTGTATGTGCAAATTGCAAGTGCTAGCGCTGACACATTTTTGCCACAGAAGTCATATTCATGTTTGGGACTACATGACAGACTGTGTGGCCATCTCTCTGTCAAATGGCAATTTTAATGCGCTACCCTGAAATCAACTGGGCTCGGTCGAACACAAGCACCTGCAGACCTTAACCAAGGTTCCCCCAAAGTTGCATTCATTAGTGAATGAAACTCGGCCAGTGGAATTGGCCTTCCCATTGAGTCTATGGCACACTCACCCATGATGTTCAGCCTAAGGTAGGATTTGAACTTGGGTCTACCGATCATGAGTCCTCCTGCTGTAATTTACTCTGGGACAGTGAGTGAATGAGGTGAAAGATAAAACTAATAAATTGCATAATATAAAATCTGTGATAGTTACTTACACTAATTTCTTGTACTGTTCTGGGTCTGCTTTAGTATTTGTTTTGTTTTTCCATCGATTCACATCGGCAGTGAGGGTATTCTTTTCTAGTACCAAAACGTCAACTTTACTTGTTAACGCTCTGTTCTGTTCTTGAAGTGGGGCAACATTCTCTTCCAACTGTTTAACCTAAAATAGAAAGTCATCATCTGGCAAGTCAGAGTTAATTGTGGGGAAACAAATTGTCATAACTGAAAAAAAAAATTGTGTATATTATAGCAGCCAACTCAGATCACTTTCCAATAAACAAACTGTATTTTAATTTTTCACATTTTTTTTAAAACCTTCGATCAAGATTTATCGCCAATGAAGGTATTTTGTTCATTTGTTCGAAAATTAAAAGAAAAAAATTAAAAACAAATACATAAAAGAACAAGCGTTTGAAAACTTAAAGTTGCACTCTAAAGCAATACTAGGACCATTATTCAATGGCATAAATATGTATATTATGTATTGACACACTCTTCATCTATATTTTCATACATATTTTGTAATGTAAATTTATTTCTTGTCAATAATTAATTTGCATGATTGTAATGGGCCGGAGGCCATTATACAATTAATAAAATTATTATAAAAAAAATATGTATGAATTACGAAACACATTTAACAGTTTTTCCTTCCTGTGGGTGATAGTGATTTGTAACCATGGTGAATGTTTATCAACTTGTGTAAAAGCATTAACGAATGTTTAACCAAAATTCAAATTCAAAAAACAACATTTAGACACACTGTTAATCTTAAGAGTCTGGTAATTTTTGTAAATCAACGTTTTCGTAACTCAATGTTCATAACTTGAACCATTCAGCATTTCTGCACAAAACTTGTGTCACTGAAAGAAGTAACAACCTAAGTTACCTTGGCAACCATTTGTTGTAACTGTTGATCAACTCGTTCCTTTTCTTCTCTTAGTAGTTTATTACTGTCAGTGAGGATGTTTAATGTTTCAATCTTATTCATCAAGTCTTGGTGTTGAGCAGTCGTCTTGGCAGTCACCTGGATGGGGAAGACAGAAAAGTCAGATATTAATGATACTTGGATGCCAAACCTTTATTTCATAGTCTACCATCTACTCAACAAACATCCACTCCTGCTCATTAACCCTTATCTGGTCAAGTCAATGTAATAGTACATGGGGCTGGCAGGATAAAGTTAAGCATACATGTATATACGACATTCTGAATAATTAGGACCATCCATTGTCTTGAAAATTAACATATTCAAATTAACAGCATGCTATATTTATCAACCAATCACAGGCATCCATTGTCTTGAAAATTAACATATTCAAATTAACAGCATGCTAT